GCAAGGGAACAGCCTGCTTGGGTTCCAAATAATCGCCATAAGCAACTCCATCTCTCCCACAGTCATTTGATTTTTTTCTTTCCAACATCTCACCCGCAGCCACACTCGCATAACCCTTCAGGGCTGCATCGAAATATTCAGCTATCAAAGAATGTGAATTTTGAAGTTGCTGAGCCAGCTTTGTGGGCAGGTGCCCTGCGAGAAGCCTCCTACGCTCAACACGGAGCCAGGTGTAGCACCTTGTCTCTGCCTTGCTCAAAGGACTCCCCCTAAAACCACGTTTTGGGAGGCGCCCACGTGCCGACACGAATTTGGAGAGCTCACGCAATCGCTGCTCCCACTGGCACTGGTCAATTGCGGGGGGAGTGCTCTGCCATTCAAGAACCAAAGCTTTCACCAAAGGATGCACCTCTTGCAGCATCTGGATTTTGTCAGGATTGAGTAGTACCACGGTTCCCCGCAGATTACCCAGCCAATTTGCAAGTTTGTGGCTAGGTCTAGGTGATTCGTCATGTTGATGTCTCTTCTTCGGGATGCTTCCGTACAACTGCATGTGCTTTCTCAGCGCCTGGCACTTCTCCGTGAAAAGCCCATCAGCGTCACCTGTGAGCCACCCTTGAGCACGCTTGGCAATGAGAGATGAGGATGATGTTAGCTTCTGAAACCTGTGCATCGACATTTTGTTCTGTTTGAAACGGAAGCATTGATTTCTCAGCCATATTGCCAATGTCCTTTCACTATACTGAGCTGACATGGCTGTTGGGAGCCGGCCATGCTTTTTGGCAAAAGCTTCAAGGGTCCGAAGCCGAGCTTGCCAAGGGTCTTCCTGCAACAGAATCACAGAAAGCCGATTGTAAATCTCTGTCGTCCACCCTTTCATCATGCTTACACCAGCCTCCGCTAATGTGCAGTCGTCTAGCTGGATCCTGTGCCCTGCAGTTGCACCAACCAGGCGATGATCTGCCATCATCAGCGTGGCCAAAAAGCGTTCCAGTTGGCTATCGAAGTGCTGATCAAACATAGGGGATCTGTCCGACGCTGTCAATCTTAATGCCCCACGGCGCCCTGCTGTGAGAGTAATCCCGTTTCGGCTCTTTGTATCCTTGAGAGATGACACATCCACCATCGGCTTTGAGGCTGAACGCGGGTGCTGCCGGTGTAGTTGCTGGGAGCGTTGACAGTCAAAAAACACAGGTCCGTGGGCCGTCTCTTCATCCTGTCCGTGGTCTCTAAAAGATCCTAGGATTGCTGGTTCACCTGACTGGCTTACGAAGTCGGCTTCAACTTCAACATTTTTGCTCTTGGATCCATCTAAACCCATCTGAGCTTTCGGAATGCCTTGGCATTTCGACTCGCTGGAGCTTCCTGCAGGACCAAGGCCATTCTGCATTAACAATCCTGCTTGAATGTCCTTTGGCTGCTTTCTGCGCAGCTCCCCCTTCTGCCAAGCATCTCTGTGAGCTGACGCAACAGGTGATCTGATAGCAGCAGGTGACTTGTCCCCCGGAGACAAATCCGTCTCACCTTTGGCCCTGCTAGACATAGGCCTCATAGGACCCCCATTGTAAAGCTCCCTTCCCTGACCAGTCTGGCTAAATACTTCCGGCTTCGGACTCTCTGTGTTGCTGATCTCCCTAGCATTTGGTTGCTGCTGCTGATGAATTGTTGTTTGACGGCTGCCATCCATCAGTGGGATAGAGGCTGATCTTGAGCTTGGAAACGCCACAGCTGGTAGAATGATATGTGCCAGGGTCTTCGCTGGGTGGTGGCGCAGCACACGCCCAATAGCTTGAATGATGCTCCGGTAGCTACTGCGTGGCTCCACAAACATGCAGGTGTCTGCATTGGGAATGTTGATCCCTTCTCCCAAGACTTCCACCGTCACAAGCACGTGAACCGGTTTTTGCAAGGGCCCGGCAAACTCTGCAATCGCAGTTTGCCTTTTTTTCAAAGGTGTCGTGCCATTGATATGCCATGCTGCCAGCCCCAGCTCCCTCAACACCATGCGAAAACGTTTGGCCTCAGCAACAGAGTTGCAATACGCAAGCACTCGCCTGAAACGTCCAGCCTGTTTCAGAAGCAAATCTGCCAAACAAACGTATGCGTGGTGAGCAGTCAAGGCGGGCACCGTGATGTCGTAATCGCACAGGACCCCATCTTCGATGGCCTGTCCCATGGTGTATCGAAAGTCCGGCTCATCCTTGTGGGTCGCAGAAAATCGATACAGCTCCGCTGACTGCGGCATTTTGGGCGGCAATGGATGGTGCGCTTCATCCACAAAGACGGAGTGAAACTTGATTTTCTTAAGCAGGTGGACCGAATCCGTCACAGCAATGAAACCTTTGGCATCGAAGTCGATCTTCTTGTTGTGGCCAGTGCCCACTTTGCAGAAGCTGGGGAAGTCGGGAGCGAACTGGTCCAGCAGGGCTCGCAAGGGAACCGTGATCAAAACCTGAGAATGGCACAGAAATGTCACACTGAAGGCTCCCCTTGAGGCTCATGCACTAGCTTCAGAATAATGATTTCTTTTTTTTTGGAATCTCAGGATATTTGGCAATGAACAACAATATCAACAAAACAGGTTAAACAGAGGCCCCAGAAAAACAATGACAAGGTATGAGTATTAAGTATTAACCAAAACTGAATTAAATCAGAGGCCCAAGGCACCCTTCCTGATACATTCGACACCAACTCCTGGATCACCCGCGTCTTCCCAGTGCCGCAGGCCATCTCGATGACTCGAGCACCAGTTGCACATGCCTCCAGGCACTCACGTTGACATTGTCTCAATGGTGGCTGGGCGTCACCACTCCCATCAGTTGGAGAGAGAACTGCTGCACTCAGCCTGATGCCAATGCTGCCGACAATACATGGATGATGTCGGAGGACAAGGAATGCAAGCTGGAAGGAGGGGCCATCGTACCCCCGGCTTCGTCTAATTACATCTAATTGCTACGTGTTTCAAAGGAAGCAGCACGCTGGACACAAACCTGCATTGAAACCACGCGCCCTGACAACTGATCAGTTGAACACAACTTCTTGTATCATCCAGACAGACGTGGACTGAAAACGAATCCCAGGCATTCTCTTCCACAATCCCAACCTCCTCACCGTACGGTTTGTGATGATCCGATGCTCGACGCCGGAGTTCTGCAGCCAGGCTTTGACCTGCTTGGACAACCGATGGCTGCTGGTCACCACTGTGCATCTTGGAGCCTGCAGGTTGGCTGCACCCGAACATCAAAACGGGCGTGGTGGCTCTTCACAGCATGAACAGGGTCAGGAGTTTCAATTGACGGCATCCATTAACACCACTAAAAAGAATTTCAGATCTGCATCACACCCCTTCAGTGCTCACCCCAATCTCTCTGTCTGGCCTTGTAGACCCACCGTGCCATGCGCAGGAAACGCTTCAGATCCTTGAAGGAAATAGATGCATTCCAGCAGCCAACGGCATGGGAAGCGTCCAAACTCAGCAAGTCCAGGCCTGGTGGGGAAATGTCAGCGAAGACAGTTGGGGCGCAGGCAAACACGGAAAGACTTAGACGATACTTACGCAAACGCCAGCCGATTATTGGCCACAACTTATCTCAGCTGAGCAGTTGTTGGATGTCGTGGCTATCCATCTTCCACTAGAAAAGCCAGCCTTGCAATCGACGTGTGCTGTTCTGGCGCTCCCAGAACCACGGAGGCAGCTCCTGCCAACCCGGCTGTAGCTACACCTATGAACTAAATCCGAAAGGATAGAGACAACACCACTCTACTTAAGCCATCGCTCCAACCATCATCTACCAGGCCTACCATCATTGGAATCGCTCAACAGCTCCTGAAAGGGCACGGAGTCCAACTCCAGCGCCGCCGCCCAGACCAGCCGTTGCCTCTCCCCCAGATCTAGATGTGACCACGTCAGCGCCTCGTGCGCCAAGTTCCGCAGGCGCTCCATGAAGGCCGCGTCACGCTCGTCAAGGCCTGGGCTCACTGAGAAAAGGTCCGCAGAAATGATGGAAATCAAATGGGGCGATAAGGGTGATGAAGGCTTCATGAAGGTCAATCATGTGAAAACATGAATGAAGTCCATCCAGCAAATCAGGATCAACTACTGTCGCTGGAATGTTGTGCAGCATGCACCCGTCGTGGCAAGGCCAGACACTGTTCCCGGTGGTCAGATCTTCACTACTGGAACTATCAACGGCGCTTGTTTGTCGTACGTCTCCCCAAGTGCAGCTGAAGTTCCGGCCACATGCTTGCGCGCGGCTCTCATGCCCATGGTCCAAGCTCTGAGCTGCGTCCTGTGGAAACATCTTCAGTCAGAGTCATCAGTGAGTCATCAGCGGAGCACGAAGGGCGCATCAAATGATCATTGCAGCATCAAAATGTGATGCTAGCTGCCCTCATCCCAATCCACCTGTCCTTCTGGCCGATCTTGGCAGATTGATGAATGACGACGCTTGACTCAGCAGCGCGGCGACAAGAAGCAGCCCTGCCAATGCCAGATTCGCTGGGTGTCTTCCCCCCTTTCTCATGGCCTACGCATGTCTATGCAAAGCATGCGAGCTCAACCAAATTCCTGTCGGAGAAATGCGGTGGTTGATGAGCCGCCGCGAGCTTTGAGCCAAGACTCTTGGAGAAAGAGTGCAATTTTGAAAACGAAGAGAATGTCCATGTTACAAACTGGATGTTCGTTGAATTGAAAGCTGGGTTGTACTGAAGCTCCCAATAGCATCGACCCTGATTCGTTTAGGCTGCACCTAGCTGAGGCTCTGGCATCCGGCTGGTCTCTCCACCTCCCACTGGCGGCCTGGGAGAGTGAAACAACAAACAGCGACAATCCTGACAGGTGGGCTGACTATCTTGCCGCAATGACATGGTCACTCTGGGACTTGAGCGACTTTGGAAATACATTGGGATTGGTCTCAAATTTTTTTTAAAAAAAAACAGTACGTGCAGAACCTGTGCTGGGGCCTCAGTGGAATGATGTTGTTGGGCAGTCTTCTCAACTCTTTTTGGACATGGCAGAACAAAGTGGCACCACTAAACTCGATCTTTGTCCTGTCAGGGAAGTTTCACCTGATGCTTTGTAAATTGCAAGTTAGACACAACAAGGGAACAGAAGGACAGCGGCAAGTAGCCTCTATGTGCCAAGCTCGCTTGCAAGCTGACACAGAGCTCCGAATCATTTAAGCAGACACATCAATGTATGCAGCAATCAAGGGGTGAGCATTCCGAAGTCGCTGGGCCAGGTCATCCGGCAGGTATCCTGCTTGAAGCCTGCGGCACTGAACCCCAAGCCACGTGTAGCAGCTTCTTTCAACCTGCTGATCTCCACGGCTTGTTGGGAGGCGTCCTGTTGCCAACACAAACTCGGAGACCTGACCAAATTTCCGCTCCCATTGAACCAGCCGGAGTCGCGGAGCATCCTGGCACTTCTGAAACTTAGCTTTGACCAAGGGATGCAACTCCTGCAGCATCTGCATCTTGCCAGTGTCTAATCTGATGTTCCCTCCCTGCAAATTCGCCACCCATTTTGCCAGTTTCCAGTGTGAGGACCCAATCTGATGACTTGCAAAGTCTGGCAACCTGTGGTGCAGCTGCACATACTCTCTCAGCTGATTGCAACTCTCCCCGAAAAGCCCATCGGTGTCACCCGTCTGCCACCCTTTAGCACGCCGGCGAATTAGAGGTGAGGAAGCCAGCAGCTTCTGAAACCTGTGCAATGGCAGCCTTTGCTCTCTGAAAGCAGCGCACTGGCCGTTGAGCCATGCGCCCAATCCTCTTTCATAGTGGGACTCGCACTCGCGAAGTGGGAGCATGCCATGCTCTTCGACAAATGCTTCCAAGCTCTTAAAGCGAGCCTCCCAGTTGTCCTCACGAGATTGAATTGCAGAGAGGCGATTGTAAACCTCAGTCGTCCACCCTTCCATCATGCTTGCACCAGCATCGGCCAAAGTGCAGTCTGCTACCTGGATTCTGTGCCCTGCAGTTGCACCAACAAGGCGATGATCTGCCATCATGAGTGTGGCCAAAAAGCGTTCCAGCTGGCTACTGAACTGCTGATCGAACATGCGAGATCCGGTGGATGGTTTCGATTTGAAAGTTTGCTCTCGCTTTGCACAGGCCATGGCCCGGGTCTTCTGAATTTCTGGCCCTTGGCCAACCGTTAGATCAGAAGTACTCTGTCTGAATCCTTCCATGTTTTGATTTTGAAGCTCTTTCTGAGGCGTGTGGGTTTGCTGGTGCTGATGCGAGCTTCCCATGGATCTACAGGTTTTTTGGCAATGTTCTGGGTGCGCCATATCTTCCTGCAAATCTATAGGTGCCGTCGGACTGAATTGCCTTCCAGATTTGCCATGGTTTCCGCAGCAATGCTTTCGCTCGAGCCTTCCTCCTTCGAAATCCAAGTTCGAGTTGCTGCGCACTTTGTCTCTCCGCAGAGCTTTTGAAGGAACTTTATCTGCCGGCCTCCTGGTGTCTGCAGCAGGTGGGGCAGCAACACTGATTGCGGCAGGTGACTTCGGTCTAGAAGCCACTTCATCTTCAGCAGTATCAAATGTGTGGTTTCTCGCCTCCTGGTGTTCGACCTGCCAACTTGGCAGCTCACTTCCTTGACCACTGAGACTGTGAACCTCCCTTGTACTTGGTTGCTCCTCACCTTCGATCGCTTTGTTTCCAAAACTTGATGGTGAGACTGATGCTGATCTTGAGCTCGGGATTGCCACAGCTGGCAGCACGATGTGCGCCAAAGTCTTGGCAGGGTGGTGGCGCAGCACCCGCCCGATGGCTTGAATGATGCTCCTGTAGCTATTCCGTGGCTCAACGAACATGCAGGTGTCCGCATTGGGAATGTTGATCCCTTCTCCCAAAACTTCCACGGTCACAAGCACGTGAACCGGTTTTTGCAAGGGCCCGGCAAACTCTGAAATCGCAGTTTGCCTTTTTTTCGAAGGGGACTTTCCATTGATGTGCCATGCTGCCAGCCCCAACTCTTTCAACACCATCCGGAAGTGTTTCGCTTCAGCAACAGAATTGCAATACGCAAGCACCCGCCTGAAACGACCAGCCTGCTTCAGCAGCAGATCTGCCAAACATACGTACGCATGGTGAGCAGTCAAGGCAGGCACAGTGATGTCGTAGTCGCACAGGACGCCATCTTCAATTGCCTGTCCCATGGTGTACCGGAAATCCGGCTCCTCCTTCTGAGTGGCGGAAAACAAGTACAACTCTTTCGGCTGCGGCATTTTGGGCGGCAACGGATGGTGCCCCTCGTCCACAAAAATGGAGTCAAAGTTGATTTTCCTCAGCAAGTGGACGGAATCCGTCACAGCTAGGAACCATTTCGCCTCGAAGTCGATCTTCTTGTTGTGGCCTGTGCCCACTTTGCAGAAGCTGGGGAAGTCTGGAGCGAACTGGTCTAGCAGGGCTCTCAAGGGAACAGTGATCAAAACCTGGGAATGGCACAGAACGGCACACTGAAGCACTTGTCCTGCTGAGAGTTCCCCTTGAGACTCCTTCACAAGTTTCATCAAGTTTCCAGATGATGTTCTATGTTTTGTGGAATCTCAACCAAGATAGTGATCGTCTGCCACTAGCACTTGCGAACCATGGCCAGGAATAGCTATGAACTGGCCGTGAGCAACAATATCAACAAAACAAGGACAACGATCAAAAAGTATTGCGATATGAACCAAAACTGAATTGAATCAAAAGCCCAGGGCACCCTTCCAGATACATTCGACACCAACTCTTTGATCACTCTTGTCTTCCCAGTGCCACAAGCCATCTCGATGATTCGAGCACCCTTGGTGCATGCCTCCAAGCAGTCGTGCTGACATCGTCTGAGCCGTTGCCCGTTACCATTTCTGTCAGTGGTTGGGGAAAAAAGCGAAGCACTCAGCCTGGCGCTGACGCTGCCAACAATGCTTCGGAGGCCAGGACCATCAGTTAGTTTGACGCGTCATAAGGAGGTATCACCGCAGTCTTACTACATTTATGTTTCAGAGGAAGCAAGACGCTGCACACAAACATTCATGTAAACTGTGCGCCTTGGTTAACGATCAGTCCTGAAGGAAGGTTTAACTTTTCAAGGAAAATGAAGTGGCATGAACTTGTGAACTCAAGGCCTTCAAGAAGGATTGGTGAATCCAACTTCTTATTGGGATAAACTTGATCCAAAAGTCGAAATCCCTCTACTCCTTTCCACAACCCCAACCTCTTCAGCGTACGGTTTGTGATGACCCGATGCTCGGCGTCAGAGTTCTGCAAGAAGGCTTTGATCTTCTTCGGAAATCGGCAGCTGCTGGTCATCACGGTACATTTCCCGGCCTTGCAGGGTTAAAAATCTGACGTCACAACGTGGACTGCTTCAGTTTCAGCGCCGCATTGACAGACTAGGTCAGAAATTCTCAGAATGAAGGTGGTCTTCTCCGTTTCATTCAGGATCACGAACATCGATCAGCCTGGCCTTGTAGACCCACCGTGCCATGCGCAAGAAATGCCTCACCTCCTTGAAGGAAACCGACGGGTTCCAGCAGCGGACGGCATGGGAACCGTCCAAACTCAGCAAGTCCAGGCCTGCTGGGAAAGCGTCAGACAAGACACGTGGAGTGCATGCAAAAATGGAAAGCTTTAGACGATACTTACGCAAACGGCAGCCGATTATTGGCCACAACTCATCTCAGCTGAGCAGTTGTGGAATGTCGTGGCTATCAATCTTCCACTTGAAAAGCCAGCCTTGCAATCGACGTGTGCTGTTCTGGCGCTCCCAGAACCACGGAGGCAGCTCCTGCCATCTCATCCGGCTGTAGCTACACCTATAAGTTGCAAATCTGAAAGAATCGACACCGCTACTCGCAAAGGGGATCTACTTACGCCATCGCTCTAACCATCATCCACCAGGCCTACTTGGATGCTGGTTTTTACTTGCGGCACTTAAATCTACATATCGAAGATGTAGGACTTATAAACGAGATAGCAAGGACTTATCCAGAACTTAGGTTGGACTCAGCTCTAATTGAAAGTAATACATAGGGATAAGTCCCTCTTAAGTGCTTCAAGTTGGAGCTAAGTGAAAATAGTTTTTAATTTTTTTGGGAAATCACCGAAACGTGCTTTGTGTGGTTTTTCTTGGTTTCAACATTATACCAGCGTTGATCCCAAACAGATGTAGAAATTTTCAATTATATTGTCAATGCGAACCAAGGAACCCAGAGTGGGAGACAAGTGTGGGAGACAAGTGTGGGAGACAAGTGTGGGAGACAAGTGGGGGACAAGTGTAAACTCAGCCCAAAGAACCCAGAGTGGGAGACAAGTGTGGGAAACAAGAGTAGGAATCCCAGTTCGAATTTCACCTATGGGGTCGAGACCCTCATTTTGTACCAAAGTCTCAAAATTCCTAATCTCAGCCATTATAAAATGATGGTTCTCAACCTCCAGGGGATTACGGAAAATGACAACATGATACTGCTACAAAATGAAGATGGGTTTTTATCATGAGGTTACTTGAAGGGGAAATTCCACCACTACAAAATGAAGATTTGTTTTTATATGTTTTTATCATCAAGTTACTTGAAGGGAACAGCAACTTCCCTTCCTACAAAATGACATTAGGTTCTTACATGTTGTCCTCTGATGGGCAAATTCTTTTGCTACAAAATGACTTTCAATTTTAAAGTTCTTTCAACTACCGAAACGTTGAAAACTTATAAAATGCAATTCCCAAGCTGTGGGTACAAAATGCCTGGCCCATCCTCATTTTTTCATCTTAATTTAAGCCTGGAAATGCCCTTGAAACGGGGCACAAGGCCTCCCATTCTGTAGTTGAAATTCGAGCGGGGATGAGTAGGAGACAAGTGTGGGAGACAAGTGTGGGAGACAAGTGGGAGACAAGTGTAAATTCATGCGCTCCCAGACATCCAGAGTGGGAGATACGTATGGGAGACAAGTGGGAGACAAGTGTAAACTCATGCGGCCCAAGACACCCAGAGTGGGAGACAAGTGTGGGAGACAAGTGGGAGACAAGTGTAAACTCATGCGCTCCCAGACATCCAGAGTGGGAGATACGTGTGGGAGACAAGTGGGAGACAAGTGTAAAATCATGCGGCCCAAGACACCCAGAGTGGGAGACAAGTGTGGGAGACAAGTGGGAGACAAGTGTAAACTCATGCGGCCCAAGGCAACCAGAGTGGGAGACAAGCGTGGGAGACAAGTGCAAACTCATGTGGCCCAAGGCGCCCAGAGTGGGAGACAAGTGTGGGAGACAAGTGTGGGAGACAAGTGTGGGAGACAAGTGGGAGACAAGTGTAAACTGATGCGGCCCAAGACACCCAGAGTGAAAGACAAGTGTGGGAGACAAGTGGGAGACAAGTGTAAAATCATGCGGCCCAAGGCACCCAACTGTGAGGGACAGGTGGGAGACAAGTGTAAAATCATGCCGCCCAAGGCACCCAGAGTGGGAGACAAGTGTGGAAGACAAGTGTGGGAGACAAGTGTAGGCTCATGCAGCCCAAAGAACCCAGAGTGGGAGACAAGTGTGGGAGACAAGTGTAAACTGTAAACTCATGCGGCACAAGGCACCCAGAGTGGGAGACAAGTGGTGGAGACCAGTGGGCAACAAGCGGGAGACAAGTGCAAACTCATGCGGCCCAAGGCACCCAGAGTGGGAGACAAGTGTGGGAGACAAGTGTGGGAGACAAGTGTGGGAGACAAGTGTGGGAGACAAGTGCGAGACAAGTGTAAAATCATGCGGCCCAAGACACGCAGAGTGAAAGACAAGTGTGGGAAACAAGTGGAAGACAAGTGAAAAAACATGCGGCCCAAGGAACCCAGAGTGTGAGGGACAAGCGGGAGACAGGTGGAAAATGATGCGGCCGAAGGCACCCAGAGTGGGAGAGAGTGGGAGACAAGTGCGGAAGACAAGTGGAAGACAAGTGTAAACTCATGCGGCCCAAGGCACCCAGAGTGGGAGACAAGTGTGGGAGACAAGTGGGAGACAAGTGTAAACTCATGCGGCCCAAGGCACCCAGAGTGGGAGACAAGTGTGGGAGACAAATGGAAGACAAGTGTAAACTCATGCGGCTCGAGGCACCCAGAGTGCGAGACAAGTGTGGGAGACAAGTGGGAGACAAGTGTAAACTCATGCGGCCAAGACACCCAGAGTGGGAGACAAGTGTGGAAGACAAGTGTAAACTCATGCGGCCCAAGGCACCCAGAGTGGGAGACAAGTGTGAGGGACAAGTGGGGGACAAGTGTAAACTCATGCGGCGCAAGGCACCCAGAGTGGGAGACAAGTGTGGGAGAGAGACAAGTGTGGGAGACAAGTGGAAGACAAGTGTAAACTCATGCGGCCCAAGGCACTCAAGTGTGAGGGACAAGTGGGAGACAAGTGTAAAATCATTCGGCCCAAGGCACCCAGAGTGGGAGACAAGTGGTGGAGACCAGTGGGCAACAAGCGGGAGACAAGTGCAAACTCATGCGGCCCAAGACACCCAGAGTGGGAGACAAGTGTGGGAGACAAGTGTGGGAGACAAGTGTGGGAGACAAGTGTGGGAGACAAGTGTGGGAGACAAGTGTGGGAGACAAGTGGGAGACAAGTGTAAAATCATGTGGTCCAAGACACCCAGATTGGGAGACAAGTGTGGGCCAGTGTGGGAGACAAGGGGGAGACAAGTGTAAACTCATGCGGCCCAAGGCACACGAGTGTGGGAGACAAGTGGGGGACAAGTGTAAAATCATGCGGCCCAAGACACCCAGAGTGGCAGACAAGCGTGGAAGACAAGTGTAGGAGACAAGTGTAAACTCATGCGGCCCAAGGCACCCAGAGTGCGAGACAAGTGTGGGAGACAAATGGGAGACAAGTGTAAACTCATGCGGCCCAAGGCACCCAGAGTGGGAGACAAGTGTGGGAGATAAGTGTGGGAGACAAATGTGGGAGACAAATGCGGCCCAAGGCACCCAAAGTGGGAGACAAGTGTGGGAGACAAGTGGGAGACAAGTGTAAACTCATGCGGCCCAAGGCACCCAGAGTGGGAGACAAGTGTGGGAGACAAATGCAAGACAAGTGTAGACTCATGCGGCCCAAGGCAACCAGAGTGCGAGACAAGTGTGGGAGACAAGTGGGAGACAAGTGTAAACTCATGCGGTCTAAGGCACCCAGAGTGGGAGACAAGCGTGGAAGACAAGTGTAGGAGACAAGTGTAAACTCATGCGGCCCAAGGCACCCAGAGTGGGAGACAAGTGTGGGAGACAAGTGTAAACTGTAAACTCATGCGGCACAAGGCACCCAGAGTGGGAGACAAGTGTGGGAGACCAGTGGGACACAAGTGTAAAACTCATGCGGCCCAAGACACCCAGAGTGAGAGACAAGTGTGGGAGACAAGTGGAAGACAAGTGTACACTCATGCGGCCCAAGGCACCCAGACTGGGAGACAAGTGCGAGGGACAAGTGGGAAACAAGTGTAAACTCATGCGGCCCAAGGCACCCAGAGTGGGAGACAAGTGTGGGAGACAAGTGTAAACTCATGCGGCCCAAGGCACCCAGTGCCAGAGTGCGAGACAAGTGTGAAAAGACAAGTGTGGGAGACGAGTGTGGGAGACAAGTGTAAACTGTAAACTCATGCGGCCCAAGGCACCCAGAGTGGCGGACAAGTGTGAAAGACAAGTGGAAGACAGGTGTAAACTCATGCGGCCCAAGGCACCCAGAGTGGGATGCAAGCCCGGAGACAGAGGCAAAATCAAGCGGCCCAGGGATGCAACCCTTTGAAAGGAGTAAGAACCCCATACAGGTAAACCTGCTTTGGGAAAAAACGAAAACTGAATATATTTTGGCAAATCTGCTGGCCAAAGACCAGCATATTGGTGGATGTTGCACATCTATATATACACATATATATATATTTGTATATTTGCGAACCAAATGGATCCGCACTTGATCTATACAGAAATGCATTGCTGAAAGCACAAGGTGCAAACGGACATGGCGGCCACAAAGAGCCGCCCATATACTGGAAACTCATTCCGAAGAAAGACCAAAAAAATAGCCCTTGTGGTCCAAATTTCCTCTCATGAGAACATGCAACAGATCATAAACCATTTTGTGTCCAGAAAAAAACGGTAAATTAAACTAAAACCACTGAAACCCATAGACATAATCTGACTTAGTTCGCTCTTGTTTGGATTGCATGTCGAAACAACATACGACACAAACAAATATAATATATGTCCAAAACAAATATTTCTGCTTAAGTTGCATCCTTTTTTCTTATTTATGTTCCGTTGAAACCTCTGCGGCCCAAGACACCCATCGTGGGAGACAAGTGTGGGAGACAAGTTTGGGAGACAAGTGTAAAATCATGCGGCCCAAGGCACCCAGAGTGGGAGACAAGTGTGGGAGACAAGGGGGAGACAAGTGTAAACTCATGCGGCCCAAGGCGCCCAGAGTGGGAGACAACTGTGAGAGACAAGTGTGGGAGGCAAGTGTGGAAGACAAGTGTGGGAGACAAGTGGGAGACAAGTGTAAACTCATGCGGCCCAAGGCACCCAGAGTGGGAGACAAGTGTGGGAGACAAGTGTGAGAGACAAGTTTGGGAGACAAGTGGGAGACAAGTCTGAAAATCATGCGACCCAAGACACCCAGGGTGAAAGGCAAGTGTGGGAGCCAAGTGGAAGACAAGTGTAAAATCATGCGGCCCAAGGCACACAAGTGTGAGGGACAAGTGGGAGACAAGTGTAAAATCATGCGGCCCAAGGCACCCAGAGTGGGAGACAAGTGCGGGAGACAAGTGGGAGACAAGTGTAAACTCATGCGGCCCAAGGCACCCAGAGTGGGAGACAAGTGTGGGAGACAAGTGCGAGACAAGTGTAAACTCATGCGGCCCAAGGCACCCACACCCAAGTGTGAGGGAGAAGTGGCAGACAAGTGTGGGAGACAAGTGTGGGAGACAAGTGTGGGAGACAAGTGTAAACGACACGTGTGGGAAACAAGTGGGAGACAAGTGTAAAATCATGCGGCCGAAGACACCAAGAGTGGGAGACAAGTGTGGGAGACAAGTGTGGGAGACAAGTGGGAGATAAGTGTAAACTCATGCGGCCCAAGACACCCAGAGCGAAAGACAAGTGTGGGAGACAAGTGGAAGACAAGTGTAAAATCATGCGGCCCAAGGCACCCAAGTGTGAGGGACAAGTGGGAGACAAGTGTAAAATCATGCGGCCCAAGGCACCCAGAGTGGGAGACAAGTGTGGGAGACAAGTGGAAGACAAGTGCAAACTCATGCGGCCCAAGGCACCCAAGTGTGAGGGACAATTGGGAGACAAGTGTAAACTGATGCTGCACAAGGCACCCAGAGTGGGAGACATGTGTGTAAGACAAGTGTAGACTCATGCAGCCCAAAGAACCGAGAGTGGGAGACAAGTGTGGGAGACAAGTGGGAGACAAGTGTAAACTCATGCGGCCCAAGACACCCAGAGTGAAAGACAAGTGTGGGAGACAAGTGCAAACTCATGCGGCCCAAGGCGCCCAGAGTGGGAGACAAGTGTGGGAGACAAGTGTGGGAGACAAGTGTGGGAGACAAGTGTGGGAGACAAGTGTGGGAGACAAGTGTGGGAGACAAGTGGGAGACAAGTGTAAACTCATGCGGCCCAAGGCAACCAGAGTGGGAGACAAGTGTGGGAGACAAGTGTAAAATCATGCGGTCCAAGACACCCAGAGTGAAAGACAAGTGGGAGACAAGTGGAAGACAAGTGTAAACTCATGCGGCCCAAGGAACCCAGAGTGTGAGGGACAAACGGGCGACAAGTGTAAAATGATGCGACCCAAGGCACCCAGAGTGGGAGACAAGTGCTGAAGACAAGTGGAAGACAAGTGTAAACTCATGCGGCCCAAGGCACCCAGAGTGGGAGACAAGTGTGGGAGACAAGTGGGAGACAAGTGTAAACTCATGCGGCCCAAGGCACCCAGAGCGGGAGACAAGTGTGGGAGACAAATGGAAGACAAGTGTAAACTCATGCGGCCCAAGGCACCCAGAGTGCGAGACAAGTGTGGGAGACAAGTGGGAGACATGTGGGAGACAAGTGTAAACTCATGCGGCCCAAGGCACCCAGAGTGGGAGACAAGTGTGGAAGACAAGTGTAGGAGACAAGTGTAAACTCATGCGGTCCAAGGCACCCAGAGTGGGAGACAAGTGTGGGAGACAAGTGTGGGAGACAAGTGGGAGACAAGTGTAAACTCATGAGGCCCAAGGCACCCAGAGTGGGAGACAAGTGTGGGAGACAAGTGGGAGACAAGTGTAAACTCATGCGGCCCAAGGCACCCAAGTGTGAGGGACAAGTGGGAGACAAGTGTAAAATCATTCGGCCCAAGGCACCTTGAGTGGGAGACAAGTGTGGGAGACAAATGGAAGACAAGTGTAAACTCATGCGGCCCAAGGAACCCAGAGTGCGAGACAAGTGTGGGAGACAAGTGGGAGACAAGTGTAAACTCATGCGGCCCAAGGCAACAAGAGTGCGAGACATGTGTGGAAGACAAGTTGGAAACAAGTGGGAGACAAGTGCAAACTCATGCGGCCCAAGGCGCCCAGAGTGGGAGACAAGTGTGGGAGACAAGTGGGAGACAAGTATAAAATCATGCGGCCCAAGACACCCAGAGTGAAAGACAAGTGTGGGAGACAAGTGGAAGACAAGTGTAAACTCATGCGGCCCAAGGCACCCAAGTGTGAGGGAGAAGTGGGAGACAAGTGTAGACTCATGCGGCCCAAGACACCCAGAGTGGGAGACAAGTGTGGGAGACAAGTGTGGGAGACAAGTGTGGGAGACAAATGGAAGACAAGTGTAGACTCATGCGGCCCAAGGCACCCAGAGTGGGAGACAAGTCTGGGAGACAAGTGGAAGACAAGTGTAAACTCATGCGGCCCAAGACACCCAGAGTGGGAGATAAGTGTGGGAGACAATTGTTGGAGACAAGTGTAAACTCATGTGGCCCAAGGCAACCAGAGTGGGAGACAAGTGTGGAAGACAAGTGTGGGAGACAAGTGTAAACTCATGCGGCCCAAGGCACCCAGAGTGGGAGACAAGTGTGGGAGACAAGTGGGACACAAGTGTAAAACTCATGCGGCCCAAGGCACCCAGAGTGGGAGACAAGTGTGGGAGATAAGTGGGAGACAAGTGTAGACTCATGCGGCCCAAGGCACCCAGAGTGCCAGACAAGTGTGGGAGACAAGTGGGAGACAAGTGTAAACTCATGCGGCCCAAGACACCCAGAGTGGGAGACAAGTGTATGTAGGAGACAAGTGTAAACTCATGCGGCCCAAGGCGCCCAGAGTGGGAGACAAGTGTGGGAGACAAGTGGGAGACAAGTGTAAACTCATGCGGCCCAAGGCACCCAAGTGTGAGGGACAAGTGTGAGGGACAAGTGGGAGACAAGTGTAAACTCATGCGGCGCAAGGCCCCCAGTGGGGGGAGAGAAGTGTGGGAGACAAATGGAAGACAAGTGTAAACTCATGCGGCCCAAGGCACCCAGAGTGCGAGACAAGTGTGAAAGACAAGTTGGAAACAAGTGGGAGACAAGTGCAAACTCATGCGGCCCAAGGCGCCCAGAGTGGGAGACAAGTGTGGGAGACAAGTGGGAGACAAGTATAAAATCATGCGGCCCAAGACACCCAGAGTGAAAGACAAGTGTGGGAGACAAGTGGAAGACAAGTGTAAACTCATGCGGCCCAAGGCACCCAAGTGTGAGGGAGAAGTGGGAGACAAGTGTAGACTCATGCGGCCCAAGACACCCAGAGTGGGAGACAAGTGTGGGAGACAAGTGTGGGAGACAAATGGAAGACAAGTGTAGACTCATGCGGCCCAAGGCACCCAGAGTGGGAGACAAGTGTGGGAGACAAGCGGGAGACAAGTGTAAACTCATGCGGCCCAAGGCACCCAGAGTGGGAGACAAGTCTGGGAGACAAGTGGAAGACAAGTGTAAACTCATGCGGCCCAAGACACCCAGAGTGGGAGATAAGTGTGGGAGACAATTGTTGGAGACAAGTGTAAACTCATGTGGCCCAAGGCAACCAGAGTGGGAGACAAGTGTGGAAGACAAGTGTGGGAGACAAGTGTAAACTCATGCGGCCCAAGGCACCCAGAGTGGGAGACAAGTGTGGGAGACAAGTGGGACACAAGTGTAAAACTCATGCGGCCCAAGGCACCCAGAGTGGGAGACAAGTGTGGGAGATAAGTGGGAGACAAGTGTAGACTCATGCGGCCCAAGGCACCCAGAGTGCCAGACAAGTGTGGGAGACAAGTGGGAGACAAGTGTAAACTCATGCGGCCCAAGGCGCCCAGAGTGGGAGACAAGTGTGGGAGACAAGTGGGAGACAAGTGTAAACTCATGCGGCCCAAGGCGCCCAGAGTGCCAGACAAGTGTGGGAGACAAGTGGGAGACAAGTGTAAACTCATGCGGCCCAAGGCACCCAAGTGTGAGGGACAAGTGTGAGGGACAAGTGGGAGACAAGTGTAAACTCATGCGGCG